TTTTAAAGTACAGTGTTATATTAGAGGATCTAAAAGCCCTGAAGGTCTACTCTAGTTTCTGCTACTAGAACATTCTTATGGATTTCTTTTTAATTGTGGAAAAATATACATATTTACCAGTTTAAAGTGTATAATTCAGTGGCACTTAGTACATTTATAATTTTGAGAATATTTTCATCACCCCCAAAGGAAACCCTGTACCCATTAAGCAAACATTCCCCATTCTCCTCTACTCCCCAGCCCCTGGAAACCACTAATCTGTTTTCAGTCTCTATGAATTTGCCTATTCTGGGTATTTCAAATAAATGGAATCACACAACATGTGGCCTTTATGTCTGGCTTCTTTCATTTAACATAATATTTTCAAGGTTCATCCATATTGTAGCATGCATTAATACTTCATTCCTTTTTATAGCTGAATAATATTCCATTATATGGATATACTATATTTTGCTTATTCATTCATTATCTAATAAACATTGGGCTGTTTCCAACCTTTGGCTATCATCATTAGTGCTGCTATGAACATTCTTGTACGAGTTTTTGTTTGAACACTCATTTTCAGTTACTTTGGGTATACATGTAGTGTGGGATCACTGAGTCATATAATTCTATGTTTAACTTATTGAAGAACTGCCAAAACTATTTTTCAAGGCAGCTGCAACGTTTTACATTCCCATCAGCAATGTACAAGGGTTCCAATTTCTCCACGTCCTCACCAACACTTGCTATTTTCTGCTTGGTCTTTTTTTCTCGATATATGGACTTCTTTATCAGAGAGTCTAACACTGAGAGGTAAGATATAGTACAGGTAACAGAAAAAGAGCAAATGAGAAAGAAGATCTCACAAGCTGCAGACAGTCAGTGGGTAACACAGTAGGCCAAGATACTAAGGGCCATTCCTGAAATGTGAGGAGTTAGCTAACAGCTAAAGGTTATCATCAACTTCACAATTTGCTTATAGTTGACTCAGAGTGTACTATATTAATTTAGATCTCCAAGGCAAGAGCAGTACTTATTCATCCTTTTGATTCAGTCAGTGTATGTTCGAATAGTACCTAGTATATATTCAGATATCAGTAAGAAATTTGAATGAATATATGAATGAATAAATCTGCAGTTATTAATCCAATCTAATAATCATAATGAAATTATAGAAGTGGTTTACTGTACCATGATGCCAGATTATATTGGTTCTCACTCACCATTACTAGAAGTGTTATATAAATTATCTGCCCTCAGTTTCACAAGTATCCATAAAGATAACGTAAGAGCATGGTTCTAGTACACTATTAAAAAACAGGGATCATCAACAGAACAAAAGTATAATACACGACTACTTTAATACAAACTTTATAAGAAAATTGTCATAAATAATAATTAATAAATTATCTAACCAAAAGACCACAAACGTTGTACTTTTAGAAGTACTTCATATAAAGCATTAACACAAATCAATCATTTAAAATGTTTAAATATGTACAAACCAAAAATTTCTTTTGTGTTTTTTAATCTGGCTCCACGAAGCAGGAGACTCTCTGGACCCAGAGGTCTAGGAAAAAAAGAAAATAACCATAAAGCACTGAATATATTAAAAATTCAATTCGATTCTAAAATGGTGTCTTCAGCAGAAGGTACTTAAGCTATAGCTATAATACTGCTTTCATAAAAAACCGAAATCCCAGCTACTGTAAAGCTTCCTAGGGGCCGGGCATGGTGGCTCAAGCCTGTAATGCTAGTACTTTGGGAGGCTGAGGTGGGCGGATTGCCTGAGCTCAGGAGTTCGAGACCAGCCTGCGCAACATGGAGAAACCCCGTCTTTACTAGAATACAAAAGAAATTAGCCAGGCGTGGCGGCGTGCGCCTGTAGTCCCAGTTACTCAGGAGGCTAAGGCAGGGGAATTTTTTGAACCCTGGAGGCAGAGGTTGCAGTGAGCCGAGATTGCGCCACTGCACTCCAGCCTTGGCGAGAGAGCGAGATTCTATCTCTACAAAAAAAAGAAAAAGAAAAAAAGCTGCCTAGGCCAATCTGATGTTAGTTACTGTAACAACCTGCTTTAAGATTAGTGGCTCAGAAAAATGATTATGCATGTAAATACAGTCACAAAGCCACTAGTTTCAAAATTTTTAAACATAAAATTCAGCAAAATCAAAGAGTAAGCAGTGATTTAAAAATGTGTGGCAGAAGATGAAATTTTAAAATTTTAAAGCAAAGTTAATAAACAGCTTTGAAAGGGAAAATAATTAGAACACAATGTAAACATAAATTGTAGTATGATTTGCATATAAATGCATGAGTTCTGCACAATTAAAGTTATACTGAATTATAAAACACAATGTACAAGGTATGTTAGTACTTTTTCTAGGCAAGATTGCACAGTATAACTTGACTACTTGCATTGCATACTTCTTGAAGCCCAGGTCTTCTTGCTGTTTGAATTTCTCTCCATAAAGGAGATATAAAACGACAAGGAATAACTAGAAAGGAAATTGATCTTCTTAGTGATAGCAAAATAAGAATCTTCTATGGATAAGTTAAAAAGCCATTATTTTGTTGCTATTCCTTATACTTTTCTGAAATATCCATACACAGCTATACAAACCAAACAGAATCTGAACCATTTATGAAGATACCTGCAAACCCAAACACTGTAAAAAACTGCAATGAAGCAAGGAGAACCAATACAGTCATATTTGGAGTATACTCCATGGATAGTCCAAAATCAATGTGAAAACTATTTTAGGGGCTATTAAAATAGTTCTTTTTCACTCAGTGGTGCCTCTAACAATAAACAGAAATACTTTTAGCTCACATTGGCATGTAAAATTGGGATATAATGACAACTTCAGATTAAAATATAACTCATCAGTTCGGTCAGGTTGTTTTAGTAGAGAACATCGTTCATTTTTTTCAACCATTCTAGGGGCTGAAGTAATGTAACTGCTATTTTCCTTCACATATTAATGCAATTCAGACTATGTATCCAAACATTTCTCACTATTTCCCTAAAAAAATCAAAATGAACCTAGTCATAGTTATTCAGCAGGGATCCTACACATACAAAGGTCTTGCTGCAGAGTTTACTGAACATGCTCCTATGTTAATGCTTATTAAAAACATGAATCAATGTGAATGTATGGTATTTTTGCTGACTTGTCTTGAGGATTTCATTTAAAAATGCTCATCTCTTTGTTAGTGACTTATTTCATGCAGCCAGTACAAACTGAACATGTCCCCAGAAAAGAGGTAGAATGTCAAATATGATTAGAAACTCAAGAGCTGATTCCAAGACTGATTCCAAATTAGGTTTACGCTCATAAGTAACAATGTAATCATATCCCATCAGCATATCTTTGAACTGACACAAAGCTTTTCATTTAGGAGCCAGAAATTAACCCAAATACTGAGGGAAAACAATCTGAAACAACCAACCAAGAAAAAAAAAAAAATTAGAAAAGTAAGTAAGCCGTTCTGGATTGACCAGTAAACACTCCAGCTTGCACTGAATGATTCTGAAGTGAAGAACAGCATAGCATTTATACTTGTTAAACATTATATAAAACATTTTTCATATTCTAGACTTAGTAAGCATCGTGGGTTTAAATGCATGAGGAGTGAATAAAAGCAGCTATGTTTCCTTTTAATATTACTACTTAGTATTATTAGAAAAAGAAATACAAAAACACAAATAATTTTACTAAACTATTTTGATATCATTTCATGGGATTTGTTTCATCCTCACTTGCTACTGCCACAAATTACTAGCAGATGAAATGCGAAGTGTTTTAAATTAACTCTTTCCTGGAAAAGTTTGGGTATTAATGGAGAAAAGGAGAAATAACAGATGAGGGTAAATGAATGAATAAATGGGTTACAAGTTGAGGGAAATCTCACATTACATTAACACCTTGAAGGAGGCTCAGAGCAAAAGATTACATTGTCTCTTAGCTCAATAATACCAGATGCCTGAAAGAGTGAAGCTGTATATTTGCTGAGACCATTGCTGCTTTTGGAATCTGAGAAGATTGATAAGAAGCCTGCAAACCTGAGTGACCTTACTCTGGGAGATACTTATCCACTATGATGGACTGGACTAATTATTAATAACTGAATGGGATTCTAGTAATGTGGCAGTATCTTCTGAATTATATTATTCTTTTGATGTAAGGGATTTGTGTTTGAAAACCAGGGGATGGCCTGTGACATTATGATATATACATTAGTTTTCATCCATGGTCCCTGGCTCATAACTCCCACAGCCCTTGTTACAGTCTTTTGTTATAATGTTGGGTGTGCTCGGCCTCAGGGGCAGGTTTTTGACCTTCTCCTGCCCCCGTTTCACCCCAAGATACGACTCTACTCTTCCCCCACCTTTCTAATTGTAAGTCTTAAGGCCCTCCCCAGAGAGGGTCCTACTGGGGTAAAGAAAGCTGATGTCATGAAGCTTCCATAAAAAAACCAAGAGAAGTGGGTTGGGAGGGCTTCCAGAGGTTTCTGAACAGTTGCATACCCAGGAAGAGCAGGGAAGCTGCACAACCCTTCTCCAATACCTGGCCCTGAGCAACTCTTCATCTGTATGCTTTGTTTACATTTAGTGGTTTATTATAAAGGATATGATAAACCAATCAGAAGAAAAAGCAAGCAGTGCTGGGTTGACCACTAAACACTCTAGCTTGCACTGAATGATTCTGAAGTGATATAATAAACCACTAAATGTAAACAAAACAAAACAAACAAAAAACAACAAAATTAACCCTTTCCCATGATGGGCTGCTTATTTACATGATCTCCCTTTGGAACTTCTAGTCCCTCCCCCAAACAGTTCCCACTTAAAGGTAATTAGATAACAAAAATTCTTACCTTACAATTTCTTCCATTTGTTGGGTTATGATCATTCGTCCCATGAATCTACCAAAAAATTCACCATATTACAAAATTATATAATATCACTTATGATATCAACGGCTGGTTTTTTGCACCATTCTTTTTTTTCTTTTTTTTTTTGAGACGGAGTCTCGCTCTGTCGCCCAGGCTGGAGTGCAGTGGCGCGATCTC